CAAAAAGTTATACATCGGCGAAACAGGAAGACGACTAGGTGACCGATTCCGAGAACACCTTCGCGACGTAGAAAGGAATGACAAGGACGCATCCAAACCAGTCGCTAGACACTTTAATTTACCTAATCATTCTAAACAACATATGGAAATCTGCGGTCTTTCCTTACATTTAGGCAACACGGAAAGCCGCAAAACTCTTGAACAAAAGTTAATCTTTCAAATCGGCACTCTTAATCTCACAGGTATCAACGAACGCTTTTCATTCCACTAATTTATTCGTGTTTTTCTCGTTGCCATGTTCCCACCAATGGCGTACCTCCGCTTCTACATTTAAACCCACATAGAGCCCACAATTCCTCCATTCGCTCTAATGAAGGGCTAACGCTCGAACGTCAGCTTTTTTATTCCATCACGGTGGCCAGTTTACAATTTCAACTGAGTTGATATAACCAAATTACCTTGTTACCCCCACCGACGCAGCACCACAGTTTCTTTAGAAACTTTTAGCCTTTGATCTAACAGGCTGTGTGTTGAAAGCTTTATTGATAAATTGATCGTACTGATTCGATATGGTGTCTTCAAATCATGACTTGATAATGAAGTGTTCACCTGCTGAAAGACAGGCTTGCTCAGTTAAGGCTACTAATGTAAAATATTCATTTTTATGCATAAGAGTTGACAAGTGTTGTTACTACTGAACGCGAGTGCGCATGTGCCAGTTTGGCCAACATTGTGTTTGACCATGCAGCTATACCAGCCCTTCAACAGCAGGATATTGTGCAAAGGCTTGGCTCCCTGCTGACTGGTGATAATAGAGGTATCCAGGAAGGTGCTGCTGGTACATTGAGGTACAGTATACCTGTCATATCATCTGCTAGACGTGCACTCTTGTTAAAATGTTATTTTTGAGATCAAAGATTTTGCTCAGTCCATTCAAATCTTATCCTGAAGCACAGATCTTTTTTATTCTATTTATTAGAAAATTGTCTTCTGTCTTGATGTAGGAATCTGAAAATTTCCTGGTGATCCTTAGGTGTGAGTTAAAATGGTACATTTAGAACAAGATGCCATGATTCCACTTACCACACTTGCATAGCAGGTGTGTGTTACAAATTAAATCATGCAATCAATTATTTTTTTAACTTGAAAAGCATTTATTGTTTTCATCATCTCAACCAGTCCCCACAAATGTACCATGCTTATTTATTCCAAGTGCCTTTCTGTGCATTTTACTTGGATGTACTCACTCTCAATGTTTCTTGCTGAAATGGAAAGAAAACTGAATCGCATCTTTTTCTTTCAGTCTCTTGATTCCATGGGTGGTATTGATAAGACTCTGAGGAGTGGGTTTAAAAGACAGTCTACAAGCTTGGCCATTCATGCAGGCTGTAAGCTCACAAAGGAATATCTGGTGAGTAAAAATTCTACACAAAAATCAGTGTAGCTTTAGTCACTTGAATTGACAGAAAGAAGAATCAAAATCCCTTAACCCCTTTAGCATCTAATTTCTCTATACATTATCACTACTGAATCAAACATAAAGATTATGAGAAAATAGGATATGATCACCCAACCAAGAAGCTCTCGATTGTTAATAAATTCTCCTCGTCAGTATCATAGGAAATATATTCTTGCAAAGTTTTTTGTTGAGATTTACGAAAGATATTCCCTTTTCCTCCTTAACAATTCTATCGGAATTATGTGTAAACTAAGATGTTGAATGCGCCTCGGCGGAGAAAGGGACAATTAAAAATGTTCGAATCCTATGTAAGGAATTGAGCTGCAGTCAGCTATGATTTCGCACTCAAATACTCCAACAACTCAGCCATAGAGAACTCGTCGACGAGTGGAATTAGGAGACATCTGACCTGCTATGATCAGCAATGTTGAAAACATTCAGCATTCTTTTTGCTTGACCTGTAGAGACTGGTCTCCTCTTATTAAGACTCAAGTTCAGTTGAAGGTCATGATAATCTCTTCAGACGTGTATATATTTAAAATATTAATGGTTTGCTTTATTACATTTTAGTTCACGACTAATATAGCCTTTGTAAAATTATAACTAAATAGGGTGATTCGTCGAGTAGAAGATTGATGATTGAGATACAACATCCGTTGGCAGCAAAGGTCTATGGTTTTGGCTTTCCCCGATCTTTGCAGTAAAAAACGAGTGTATTGTCATATATTCAAAGCCTTTAACTTATACTCTGAGTCCTTTGAATATCTTCCAAAAGAACTTTTATCTCCTACTAGCCTGCGAAGTGATTGTACTTTTTTTCTAAAGAAATTTACGAGGGCTTATTTATTTTCAAATGGCATTCAAAATCTGTGATCGATTGCATCAAGATTTACAATCAATTAAACCGGTTTTAAACTCCTGCCTCCAATTTCAACTTTGTGCCCTCCATTTCTACTCCCTATATTGTTTGCATTAAATTCTTAAAACTAAATTGCAAGGCGAGAATGTAAGAAACGAGAATTACCCGAAAGCTCTTGAGAGCTACATGTATACCACGGGTTAACATCTCATTCATCTAAAACTAATTCCAGATTTCAATTTGGCTTTAAATTTTTGAAAAATTCTCAGCAATTACTTTTCATTTTGACTGGTCAAAGAGACCTCGTATCATATCCAAACATCAAATCTTAATAATGTTGTTGCTGCCACGAATTGCAACAAGAGTGTCGGCTCTCAGTTTGGGAAGCCTTGTCTTTTTTACTAAATGGCGTCCAATCAGTCCTCTGGATTCGAAGCTTTTCTTCAGTGTCTTCTATGTATAAATCAGTAAACCTGTTGAAAAGAATACGGAAAAAATTCGCATAAGAGACGACCAATCCTATCCCTAAAGCCAACAGCAATGATCACTTGGTAGAGCGATCAATTGGTTGAGCGCTGCACTAGTATCGCAGAGGTCAGTGGTTCGAATACCGTACAGGCCTGATTTTTTTCAGGTCTGATTAGCGCTATATATATTGCATGAAAATAGCGCTCTCTACTGCGAGGATCGAGCATCAGACGTAACAATGATCACGTAGCTTATCAAAAAAAGCGAGCAAGTTCCCTTGGAAACTTTGTTGCTGTGTCAGTGGAAAGTATAATAGGATAGTTTGATTTTATTAACTGAATTGACAACTGATATTATTACAGGGCTACACCAGAATAAAATACGGTAATTTTTTCTGAAGAACGATCTCTGGCTAAAACAATTATAAATTTACGAACTTTCGACTGCCTAAAATGCAGTCCTTGACGGGTAATTTTTTTTGTAATTTCACATTTTACCCGTTCTATTATTACTCGTTCTTAAAAAAAGCATTTTTTCAACATGAATTGATATAATGTCAGCTGGCCGCTGTAGTTAATAAAAGAACACTCACTTTAGGCTCGGCATTCATGTCTCCATCTTCACCCTCATCTTCCTTTGATTTTGTTCCACCGGTCTCTCGATATCTGATGTCAGACCGAAATGAATCAGAGTAAAATCTTGACAATTTTAAAAATTTGCGCACATGCAGGTGCAGTAAGGACGAAAAGCTATTGGACGCGAACTATTTTGTCTTCATCCTTATTTTTCCTCGCTCTTTTCTCATAACATGGACCTTTTCCATGTTGCTTCGACCTTTTTTTTAACAAACTTTTCATTTTCCGACCTCTAAAGCATGTGTACCTCCATCAGAAATGCAAAAGATTACTTAATAGCCTCATTACCTTCTGACAAAAATAAAGACTGCCCAAACTGTGCCGGAAACTGCAGCTCCAAACGCTACAACTACCACAACAATGTATGCTGTGACGTAAGCTGTAGAGCAAAACAATATTACCATAAGGTCGTTGTTGTGGCAAGTAGGATAAATATCGTAAGAAATATACAACATTTTTTTAGAGACATGTTTCGGCATGCTTATGCCATCTTCAATCAATGAATAACTGAACGTGAGTAATTATATAACAGACAAGTAGATGAATAAGATATTTACAGTATGATGTAATACAAAAGCGTGTACTAATTACAGCGTGAAAACAAACATGAAATTAAAGGTGTGAACTAAAATGCTAGAAAAGTGTTATAATGCTGTAATTGTTTGTTAAGTTCAGGTTTGATCTTATATATATAAAAAGCTTCTTTAAAACAATATTAATAGAAATTAATTAAAAGATGAAGGAGAGATTGCTTCTTGGGCACTCGTGCGCAGAACATGGCCGTACAAATGCGCTGCACACCTGCAGGTTGGCTAACCCTCCTATCTTAATCATTTTTGTTGTTCAAATGGATTTTTTTTTCTCGATGCTCATAAGTTAAGCATACTCATTGAGATCCTAACCAAATCTCTAAAGTTTTTAAACTGTTTCCATCAACCAACTCTCGTGCGTGGATCATGACCTTACAAATAGACCACAACTCTGAAGTTTTGTTAACCCTCTATAATTTAAAACTTCTTCTTTAATTAGTTTTGTTATAATTCACACATATTTTTTTTTTTTTTTGCAATGCTCGAAAGTTGTACACGCACAGAAAATTCCAGTCATTACTTGTGGGTCTCAATAAGGTTCACCGATAGCTGTAGAACGGCTCCAAAATTTAGCCGTTAGGCGTAAAAATGAAAAATTTCAACCAATAGTCGTAAAAAAAAGTTAACCATTAAAAAAAAAATTCTGCTGACAACAATGGAATGATGCTTACCTCTAGCCGTAGAATGGCCAAAATTTTAACAGTGAGCCTTAAAAGTCATCATCCCATTGAGACCCTTTTATTTATCGCTTGGGATGGTCGGTGGATTTTTTTTGGGAGGGGGGGATCACAGGGTTTTCAGGGGGAACAGAGGGGGCCAAAAGTCGTCACCAACACAGTATATAGGGGGATTTTAAATCTGACTGCCAATGAGCTGCTAATGAAGGGGGAGGGGGGAAGGGGGTCATAAGAATTTTACCGAAACTAATGGGGGGATTAGTAAATTTTGTCGTCACAGGACCAAAATTTTCCGACCCCCACCCCTGAGGCGATAGATAATTACTAGTGCCCAACAATTTTTCTCTTTTTTTTTTAATAATCACGACAAATGAAATTCTTACCTTTTCTATTTATATCGTTTCTGACCATAAGAGATATCTTGACGTCATTCGTTGAGATACCAGTTGTTATTTTGCACAGTTCTTCACTGAAGCACTTGACGCCATAACATTTAGCATTGTCCATATATGCCAGCTGGCAACGTTTACTGGCGCAACATAACGACATGCATTCCTCCATGTCTTTAACAGCACCGAGGAATGTAAAATTCCCAGCATGCAGCTGACCTTCCAGAGTAGCATTCTGTACCACGTCGCTGTGCAGTAGCTGGGCTTTTCTACATACGGGGTTTTGATTTATGGCGAGAGGAGGACCAGAACGCGTGGCTTACATGAAGAAATAAATGAACCATTGAATTGATGAGTATCGTCCTTTATATTAAACACTTCTTGTAATCTCATAGACTTACCTCTATAAAGTCCAAAGAATGAATCATTTCCTGTTGGTGCGAGCAAAAGACATATTTAAGTTCCACTGTCATTAAACTTTCACACAAAGACCTTTATCTAAAATATAACGTAAGCAAAGCAACCTTTCTCCGATGCCTTTTATATTGGGGCCTATCATTATATTTAGAGAGATGACGGCCTCGAAATCGTGACCTGCAGCGAAAATTGATCGGAATTTTTGTGCAGTTAATAGCTTTGCCATTAAATTGTACCAGACGTTAAAACCGTCAAACCAACACTGAAAAATCAGTAAATAAAGTTACATTTGCTTGGATATAAGTGCTTCAGGGTATTCTCGGCAAATTCCCGCGGTTTGCAACGAAAACCATAGTCCTTTACATTTAACGGCTGGGGTAAAAAAATCTTTTCATAGGAAAATTACGAACCCCATATAGATTATAAGGTTATGAATATAACTGCGTCTCCATGGCCTACCTCTTGCTGGTGTCGTTACCAAGAAGGCGAACGCTAAAACTATGGTGGTCACGAAAAATGAAAGATTGTCCATATTTTCCTAATTGGTTTGCCTGTTTTACGCCAATCCAAGCTAAAAGATAATCGACGATCGCAGAGTATTGACGAAGTATAACACCACAATGGTTTAGACTTCTCTGTCTCATTCAAGAATCGCCATTCTCTTGGTAATCCCCTTGCACTCCTTACTCTTGCCAAGTCACTTCCGTAAATCTACGCTTCCAAGAAAGAAGCTCTGGATAGTTTCAGATGTAGCGAAATAATCTTTTTACAATTTTTCTGACAAGTTTTTCCTCTTTTCTCTTGGTAAACAATACATTAAAATTAAATGGAAGAAAAACAATACCAATGACGTAGGTTAAATGGATGAACCACCAAATTCCATTTAGATAATACAATCCTTTCATTGTAAACCACCCTGGAAAAACGAGCTACAAAATTCAGTTTTGAACTCCATTACTCTAAAAGAAGGCTATTAACTGAGGTCTTGAGTTGTTCTAAAAATAAGGAGTGTATGAACATCGTGAATTTTAGTTTTTTTTTTTTAATTCGAATGTATGAGAATTTACTTGTGAGCAATCGTACCGTGACGATAAACCAGTCTTAAAAGCAACGGGTGACCTGCCGAAAGTCAACAATCGAAGCCAACAACCCGAACATTAGCCGATTGTTCGACAAGTTAGTCGGAATTGTCTTCGGGCGATCCTCGTTTCCGAAGCAAAGTCTCCTATGTAATAGGTCCGTGTTTTGATTGGCTTGCCTAGGTCGGAAAACGATATTGCATACTGTACATCGATAGCGAGCGAAACAAAAAAAAAAAAAAAAACTTCCAAGTGTCTGCGAAATTGATCATTTTAGATGTAACAATCCTTGCAGTTCGCGTGCTCGTTTTGCTTTCTTTCTTTTTCCACGTCCCTAAAAACTCAGTCATTGTTAAGTCCTGGCTTAACCATTAAATGTTTTCGATCAACATCGAGTTTGTGGCTCACAATATAGGGTTGGCTGGGCGCGTAAACATTCGCTCGTGAGGCAGAAGTTTGGGGAAAAGGGTGTGATCTGTAGATCAAATATGGTTCACTATTTAAATGCAATGTTGAGAGAGGGCGCCTAAACCGTCAAACATGATGTTGGACGAAAATGTTTGATCATTTAGCTGGGACTTCATCATTTGAAATAATAATTACATGAAACAACAACAGTATTAACCTCCCTAAATAGCCGCAAAGGGCGATAAAAACAACGGAGCCATGCTTCTAGTAGGATAACAGTAATGTATTAGTTTAGGGGCCATCTGCTTACAGCCTTGCAGGCGTCAAAAATAGTCGTAACTAGTGTAATTTCAAGTGCAATTGTAATATTTAAAAAAAGCTTTCGAAATCTGATTCTATCTATACAGTTTAATTTGTTGGTAACATTTTAAGTGCTGATATTCTTTGTCTGTTGATCAGAACAACCTTGGGGCACAAAAAAATTCAGCTTTAATTGCATTGGGATTATGACTTCAATTAATTATTTTCGCCTGGAGTTGTAATTTCAACACACTTTTACCTTAGTTTTCTTTATATATATATATATAAAACTTAACCGCGAGCTGTTGAATAAAATATTAACGAATTTGCGGCAGTTTCACGCGCTTCGCATGGACAAATTAAAAATAGGATTAGGCTGCCAACATAAGTGATACCTTGCTTTCGTTTTAGTAAACAAGACTGATGGCGTCTTTGAAATTATTTCTAGCTGCAATGTTTTTGTTGTTAACAGCTCCAAATGAAGCTTGGAGTGAAGAAGACAATAATAGTGAAGAAAAAGTTGCCGATGCCAAGGGAAGAGAACGAGCAACTTCGCTTGGGAAAGATAGGGGAGAAATCGGTGGGATAGGTGGTACGAAGGTGGAGATATATGAAACCAAAAGAAGCGGCACGACAAGGGACGAAAAAGACTCTGAAAACGAACAAGTCGATCCTAACCTAGATGGCCTGATTCTCTTAGCCTGTTTCGTTGGCTTAATTGCATTCATTGTATTTCTACGATTCCTGTGCTGTACAATCGAGCAATGTGAAGAAAAAGCCAAGAAGTCCTATGCTACGAAAGAAAAAGTGGAGCACACAGAAAAGGAAATAATTTTACAGGGGATGAAATACAAGGTCTTGGTTTGAACCTCAGTGGTTTTCCCAATTAAGAGGGATTCCTAAGACTCAAGAGAGAGAAGAACTTTTTCACCAGAATATCAAATTCGCTGTGGAGGAATGAAATTTACCCCCATGGTTTGAATTTTATAGGACTTATTTATAACCTATCAACGAGAAAAGACCTATTCAATCAGGAAATGAAGGGCCATTTTAATAAAGCCTATTGACTAAGCACTGACAATTTGTCGTGGATATCTTCGATGTGGAATCTTGGACTTAAAGTACTTTTGTTTAGGCGCGTTGGCCCAATACAGCTGTCTGTATTGTGGTCAGGAGTCTCTGAATCGCCAAAGTACAGATATCGATTGGACTGTCTATAGAATCTTCTTTTGGACTAGAAAATCTTCATTTGTGCCGAAAACTTCTGTTATTTTTAAGTAAAATAAGAGTTATGAATTAAGAAATAGCACCAAGAACTGCAAACTTCGCCACAGTGTTTTTTTTAACATTTTCAGCTGCCACAACAATCAGATATGCCGGCAAAATAGTTTTAATTTGATGATTCATAATTTTGATACCTATATCGTTCCGAACATTCTTTTTATCGCAAACCAAGACTTGAAATACGCCCGAGTTTAAGGCTGTCACTGCGATGGTGTTGCGACAGATAAAATGAAACACTATTTAATGATCATTAATATTTAAGGTGAACTTATTCACATCCGTTAGAAAAAACTAGAGCATGTAACTGAGAAAAACTTCGACAATGGATTGATCTCAATAAATTGAGCATCACTTTTCAGCCGCGAAGATCTTGGCCGATTGCTTGAAAACCTCTGAGAGTTGTTTTTTTTTTTTTTGTTTTTTTTTGTTTTTTTTTTGTTTTTTGTTTTTTTACTTTTTGCAGTGCTTTGCTCTTCTGCTTAGGATAGAATTTTCCAATAAATCAAGAGATTCCCAAGATCGCTCTTCCGAGCTCCGAAGTTGTGCTAGAAAAAATTGATCAACACCAAAGAGCCTAAGAGGTCTGAGAGCTGCGCCTGCAAGCGCTACCTGCGAAACACGGACAGCTTCATAGGCTGTTGAACGCGGAGCGGGGTAACTCATGTCCCTGCGTGGCTTGCGACACGAGCAGGTTTGCGTTGATCGTGTTACCTGACGGGAAGCATGCGGGTTTCGAGCCGAAAGGAAATTCGAGCGAGCGAAAATGAGATTTCGCGACAGTTCCATCACACACCTCTCGCACGCTCCCCCCTCGAATTTCGTGGTTTTTTTTTTGCAGCCTACAGCCTACAGGCAAGTCCTGCAAGTTGAGTGAAGAGTATGCACGCAACACCCCATTTGGAGATCAGAGCATAATCGTTAATCTAACGTGTCTTCCGTACTCTTAGCAATTAAAGACAAACACAGAGATCGCCAAATTACTTTTATTATTGGTCAAGAAAAATATTTTAGTTCTTTTCTTTGTTCAGCCGTAGAGTGATTTAAAATTTTTTCAAACAACTCGATGCCGACTAATACCTGAAATATATCGAAAAGCCTACGATAAGTGTTATCAAAATTTCTTTCTAGATTAGAGCTAAAGCGTTTTGAAAATTACCACAAACAAAACAATTTCAATAAGACCACCATAGGCAACAGCCACAAAAATATCAAAAAACCGATAAAAATAAATATCCATCGTTGCCATCATCACCCTTACATGTTTTTTCAATCAATCATTTGCATCATTACCTAAAGTAATTAAATTATTTCCGCACGATATTGAAAAAGTTCTCGAAAGCGTTCGATTACAATATAATATCAAGAAATTCCATTCCCTCTAAGCACTTCCCATATATTTCTCTCACAACTGAGAGTCGCTGCCTTCGCTGTACGTACTTCTTTGTTACAATTTTGAAGTTCCCCATTTATTGAGTTCAAATTCTGAACCTTAGTGTCTCTTTTATCCTGCTTCTTTGTTTTTGCACCACTGGCTGATGACGTGAGAGAGGTTTTCAGCAAAGGCATCGTCTCCTCAAGAGAGGTCAGGCATCTACACGTAAAGTCCTTGTTGTCGTTACTATTCTTTGTCACGCAATCATCTTCAGTTTGGAAATCTTGTGGCGACTTCTCTTCACCATGGCTGAATTCTAATAATTGAGACTTCGTGTTCTTCTCTGCTGTGCAAGTTTGGACGTATTCAGCGCCTCCAACATTCAAGCCTCCCTTTGCACGCAATCTCTTTAAGTTGCTAGAAGGATTTGTTTCTTGAGAAAATTCGTTTGTCACGCAGTCTTCGTTTTTCGGACTGGGATCCTCAGAATTACAGTGGTAGCCAGACACTGCGGCTTTCTCTTCTTTCTTGTTATCTTTCGATGGAAAAATTCCCTCTTGCTTGTGTTGTTGGTCTAGTAAAGCTTCCACTCGCACATCGCCGGACTCTTTTCTTTCTTCTGCTTCTGGAAAGTTTTCCAAAGCGTCACTCTCTGGGGATTTGTTGGCCTCATCCTCATCCGTCACGCTATCTATCTGGGTCCTTCGTTTTTCCAAGCTTTGGCTCTTTCGTTTCCTCTTTTCCGTTGAAACTCGCGCTGGAGCCTCCTCCTCCTCTCGCAACTCCTCCGTCTCTGTTTTCTCTCCCGTTTCTTTCTCGACCCGTCTTAACTTCCGAATCAATTGCTTCTCCACTTTACACAGTAACTTCTTCTTCCACTCAATAGTCTCGGTTTTAATCCTCTCTCGAGTCTCGATGATTTTTGCACTGATCTCTGGTAAAGTTTTAGTGAGCCTTGGTGAATTGGGATTGCTGTTTCGACGCTCTCCTGACACAGGTGGCGGTCTCTTCTGTTTCTCCAGTTTGTCTAGCTCTGGACTGTCAAGAAATGCTGGGTATGGAGGAGGACCACAATGGTAAATCTCTGAATCAGAACATATTCCATGTATCCGGCTATTGTATCCATCAAAATTTCCTGAGAGGTTACCGTAACTTGAAGCAAGAGTAGGTTTTGCGATATACGGTTTTTCAACGCATGCTCCCATAAGAAAATGCTTCATTCCTTCACCTGAATACTTAATGCAATTTGTAACGTTTGTTTCCGGGCACATCTTTTGTGCGCTTCTTGAACGGTGAATCTTTCGAGAATGAACTTCTTTAACTTCGACCTCAACTATATCCTGATCTTTTGATTCCGAAAAAACAGAAGTTCCTCTTCTGGTGTCACACTGCGAATATGTGACTGGGGAATGCATGCGAGTTTCTTGAGACTTTGCAGAGTAATATGACATTCCACTAGTGTTGGACTTCGATGGTATCTGCGCAACAGCAGGTGGTTTGGAAGGAGGGGCACGTTCGACATTCCTGGCGTTTACAGATGTGTGTTTGGCTACAGAATGAACCGCCACAATTTTGGGAAGGGCTTGGTGGTCCCATGCAAGCCCATCGTAAGACTTGCAAGTGTAGCCAATATTTTGTTCACTCTGCAGGGGCGGATCCATTATTACGGTAATGCCAGGGACTTGACGTATTCTCTGGATAGACGGTGGCAAATGCTTTAGACGGTTTTCATCGTTGGCGGCTCTTTGGATTGTTTTTGGAGCACGAGAAATTATTTTCAGTGCGACTGATCCGGGTTCATTCTCTTCACAGGCAGAAATAGCAATTTTATTTTGTTCTCCTTTGGTTGGCGTCGAAGGAGAGTAATACTGAGTTTTGTTTCCTTGACTGTTGCTTATTTGATGGAGGGTTAAGCCATTCTTGGACATCTCAGAGAACTGAATGAGTTCACGCATTTCCTGCATTTTCAGCATCCACAACATCTTCTCTTTCGTACGATCGATTCTCTCAAAAATCAATTGCTTCATAGTTTCGCGTTTATGGTTTTGGCTTTCAATTCTCTGAGCAAACATTTGCGCGGAGACGGAGTCTGGTGTGGATAAGCGAGGTCGCTTAGCTTCACATTCGCTGAGCTCGCTGATGAAGGATTCACCAGAAGAACGACGACGCTGTGGAACACAATGATACATGCCACAAGCGGCAGCAGCAGCTGGATTATTCAGAAATGGACTTGTGGATCCAGCCAAGGAAGATGTCAACATTGAAGCGGAAGTTTTAGATGCCATAGCCCCTTCGAAGACATCTCGTGGAACTGCAAATGCCTGGCTCATAAGAGGGATGTGGCTCTGATCCATGTCCCCAGCTGTTCGAGCCAACTTTTGTTTAGCTTCTGAAAACAAAAGCACACTTTCGTTAATTCATTCAATCTGTGATCTAGTGAATAGGAGAAACAAGAAAACCCTTCAAAAGTGCTCCAGAGTTTCCAATCCAATATGCTATAATTCTAGGAGTGAAATACCAATGTAATGATGAGTGTAAGTGATTTGGAATAATAAAGTTAAGTCATATTCAAACAAGAGCTCCAACAAAAGTATTCTCAAACTTAAGTGGCTTGTATACAGTTTACCCAAGTTATTTATGCTGATCACTAGTTAAGGCTTACGGTTTTACTGCAATTAAAAAAAACAGTGTTCTGAAACCCCAGAAAATGCTTGATTCCAAAGTTTTCGTAGGGAACTGAGACCTTACTTCAATATTTGCTCCTTTAACTAAATGCTATTCAAGTGACTACATTAGAATTTACCAAAAGATGTTACGGTGGATTAAAGTTCTCTCGAAATATATAGAGAATCGTCGACAGCCAGGCAATCTGCTTTGTTAATGAAAATCATTCTCTCTCAGAGCTTAACAAATCCTGTACCCTTATAGGGATGAAACGGACATTCCAGAGCCCACCAACAATCATCAAAGTCAGAATCAAATGGTGAATTTCCGGCATACAAACCTCCTCCTTTCGACAAACGTGCTGGCATGAAAAATGTCAATTCTAATTCAAGCACTGAGCGGAAGTAATGGGAGGCAGAAATTTCGTCTGTGAGGAACGATAAATCTACTTTCCCTTATTTCAAACGATTAAGAAACAGACGATGATCTCAATGCGTACCAAAGGCTTTTTTAGACAGTTTGAGGTTAGAATTGCATCAACAGACTGCTGAGTTTTTGTAACTTAGCGATGTCAGTGGAGAAACAAAGACAAAACCAGTTTCATTCAACTGCTTGACTGAATATCTATTGCTCTTTTGTAATCCAACAAAGGGAGCACATGTATATCTTTGGATGTTTAAACATCTTTTGTGTTCTCTGCTACATATTAACATGTTTACAAAACACTGAGTTTAAAGAATGGCGTCTAAGGAAAAGGCGAAAGTGAAATGAAGTCTTATTTCCCTCACATTTAGTGTAATTCTGTGATCAAATCAAACGGAAAGTAGCAACTAAAGTATCTTGCTCATACCCAACGAAAATATTTTCTCTCTCGTGTAAAATCGGCTGAAAGTAGATAGACAGCAAGAACTTCAGATTTATCATTATTCGACGGTCTCTTTAGTTCTTAGTTTTCACAAAAATATTTACAAAAAACTGTTAGAGAGCGAAATCACCTTTCTATGAGAATCGCGTGATGCTGCTGTCTTGTGACAAGCGTGGATTAAAACTGAGAAAAATTCCGGTCGAACCTCAGACCTTTGTAGTTTAACTCCTTTAAACCCTAAGAGTGATCAGTGTCTAATTTCTCTTTACAGAAATAATGCTGAATCAATGATCGAGATCATGAGAGTAAAGAAAATTATCAACAAACCAAGACAGTATGGATTGTAAAACAAATTCTCCTTGTCAGTGCCAAAGAAAATGTATACAGAACAGTATGGAGAATATACATACTGATGCGAGGCTGTAAAGGGTTAGACTAAAATTAAATAATAATCAATTGAATGATATGAAGAGAGAATAGGCAATTTCTGTGAAAGATAATCCGCTTTAAGCGGGCACCCCGTATCAGGCACTACCACGATGGTTTTCCAAATATTAGTATTTCATTTTCCAAATGTTAGTATTTCATCCTTTTACATAGTAATTCTCGACACCAATTTCCATATGTCTGCCGTAACGTGGCATCCTTGTGATTATAGCTCTGAGGTATTTGGTATTTAATCAAGGAATATCCGGCTTCAAATTCAGTTGATATTTCTTTCTTCTCAAAAACCATTCTTTTTTGACAGTATATCAAGATATATATATATATATATATAGGAGAAATAGTTACTGATCATTTCTGTGAAAGCAAGGGCAATCATTAAAAGGAATACCATGGCCCTTTTGAAAAAAATTATAAAACAGATAGTTTGTTCTTGTCTGTAAATGATAAAATTGGATGTTGACAGCTCAGAGGAGAATGTGTTACTTTTGTTAGAAATTAAAGTAGTTCTTTCCTGAATAAGCTCCTTAATTCTGTTTCAGAGGTTACGGTTGATTTCAAGTCAGCCATTTCCGGCCGAAATTCTGATCAATTAACTGAGAAAAGTGAGGTGGTCAAGATACTATGTTAGAAATGAAACGATATTTTCAGGTGTAAACTGACCTCCCACATTTTCTTACATTGGCACAAAGTATTGCTTAAAGCACATTGACCAGCTATAAAAATTAAACTAGTGACTTCACACATTTGCAAATTAGAATTGTTTCCTTACCTCTTGCTGGAAGTCCAGCCATCAAGTAAGTGAAGTACTGAATGAGGCGTCTCTAAAAGCGAGCTGGTCGACTGAAAATTAATCAGCAGTTTATCCACAACCATCTAGCAAAGAAAGGAGAAGTTTTGGCCGAAGGAACAATTTTCGCAAAGGGTGCGCTATAGTGTACTGATGCTGATATAGCAGTGGACTCGGCAAAACTATTTAAATTTCCCCTTTAACGTGACACGCGCGTGCAAAGTTATTTACAGTATAGAATTTCGCTAAATTGGGTGATCTTATGATCTTGATATTTTTCCCTACGTCTGCCACGAGATACACGTTTGAAATGATCATGGAGGGGGGCACTCCTTTTATTTTCTTGAAATTGATGGGCGGTCTCCTTGCAATTTGCTTCGGGGGAATATTTATTTTTTGAGTTGAATCTCCGCAAAGAGTGCTTCATAGAAATACACTTTACTTAAACCCGAGTTTCCAGCTTTCGCTTCATCGGGAATATTGTTCATTCAGCTATTTGGCGTCTTCACTTTTCCGTTTGCTCGTCACGCGAAAGGAACGGTACTTTCACGGGATAATTCTATTTGAGTATACTTTACACGAACCCCTTCCAGCGAGTGGTTTGTTCCCAGAGCCAATTTCTATCACAATTTTTCCATTTGATCGTCACGTCCCATTCACGAGACATTTTCATCATGAAGTTAGCTGCACTTTAAACAAATCCTGTTTGCCCGAAGGGAGTTGTTTTCATCGACCAAAACCGAAGAAGAAGTCTATATTTATGAAAAAGTAAAAACCGTCGTGAAGACGGTAATGAAGTAATAGTGTAAGTTATGATGGAAAAGCGTTTCAAGTACCAGTCTGGGTGAGCTTTTGGGAAGTTGTTTCAAAGTACATGAAAGATTTGAGCAAAGTCTAAATCTTCGGTCGATCCGTGCCGCCACAAAAACTCGTTTAATTTGGATCAAATTTATTCAGGTGTGGTTTACTGCGATAACTAACACCCAAAATATTTTATCAATGGATTTCTTAGCTAATTTTATAGTAATTTTACCCTCAGTAACTTGTGAGTCTTCAGCTTTCCCTTGGTAATTTTCGTTTCTTTTGAGGTGACTTCTTGGTAATATTACCCGTTGTAAGTGGAATTAATCACGACAAGTCGTGAATGGTATTGTTGTTTTCGCTCTGCATTTCTTCTGAAGTGTCCTCTCTTCTGCCTTTTGTTCATTCTTTTGTCTTTTTTGTTTAGATCAGCTTCGTTGTGTTTTGTTTTGAAGTATAAACTCAATGCCTCGTGTATTACAAAAGCTTTCAGCTGCAAAACTCCTTTAAAATCTTCCTTTTTCGCTCGTTTCCTTTATGCGACCCTCATAAATAGAAGTACACACAGAAAACACCAACTTTATCTTGTCACCAGTCAGTCGCTCTCGACCTCTCGATGACTAGTAAACTATGAGCAGTCGTTGTTTCACGGCGAAGTCTGTTGTTCTAGTAAAAAAAAAGGGTCATCCTCGGTGTAAAAACCTGACGGGGTTTTCCTTGTTTCATGAGGAAATGTTTTGCTGTGCACTATTGTTTATAATGTTTTGTTGTCTTTGTTTTACTTCACTTATGAGCTTCACAGGTTTTTACACCGAGGATGAGCCAAAAAAAAAATGACAGAAAAAAGTAGCTTTTAGCGCGCTGTGCGGAGGCTACATATCTTGTGCCTTACTGCCAGAGTTTGGCAATAACATCAATTTAATTTTTTTTCTCTGTTTTTCTTCGCCGAAAAGGAGGGACTGCTAGAAGTCTAGGTGATTTGAATCTTCTCAGTCTCTTAAGTTCCAGTTATCGGGAGTCAACTGTATCAAAGTAAAATAACCCACAGCTAATTGAATTATCGAAAACGTGTGATCACGAGTTTATTACAGTTGTCATGTGTCTGGCGAATGACTGACAGATACTCCCCGTAGGCAAATTTGCGTCTAGTTACCTTCAGGGTACAATTTGCGTGAAGTTTATTAGCTAAAGTGAATCCCACTTACATAAATATGAATATATTCTAAGTCCTAGAATCGCGGTATTAATGTGATTGGTCACATGACCCGGGTGCGAGATGCTACAGTCAACAAGAAAGGGAGAAATGGGCGCTGGACGGAAAAATATTTGGCTCGAGGTCACGACTTCCAAATATCTCCCGTGCGGCACTCCCGCCCAGTCTTTAAGTATATGTTATAATTACACCAAAGCATCGATTTCTATGCCGATCTCTTGAGTCTGGTTCTCAAGGGTAAGAACGTGGGACCTGATCTCATTTCTATAAAAAAAATGGTTGGATGAGGTGTGACGAACTTATCGTGCTATATTACAACTTAAACGTTAAGGATTTACTGGGTTATGTCATCCTTAACTACTAAAGATTGACGCTTCGTCAAGAAATTGGTAACATTATTAGTGCCTTACTATATGTCTAACTTGCTGTTTGTTCAACGCTTGAAAAGTGAAATATGTGTAGACTTCGTCATGCTTCAAAGATAGACGTCAATGGTAGGTTACCATCATGATACCAAAATAAAATTTCGTTTTCGACTAAAATAATTAACATTTTTAGTCTCAACTGAGTCATAATCACGCTACAAATAGTTGATTGATAACATATCCCGACAATATGTGGTTATCATCCTGTTAAAATAAAGAACTTTATCGAAAAAAGTATTCCATTCCCACTGCAACCAGAGTCAAACCTGCATAAACAGTGAAAACAACGGCCTGATTAGAACCTAAAGTGTCTGTCGGTAACCGGAAATTAGAAAACTATGAAAGCTATGAGAAAACTATGAAAACTATAAAAAAAAAACCAAGGTAAACGAAAACTATGGGTATGCTTCTATATTTAACCGCACTCCGGTGAATGTTGTGTCATTCACGTCTACTTTTTGGATGATTAGATCTTTGCAAGATATTACGTGAAATCAACATTTTCGTTTGCGTTCCTATGCAATACCTACGTTCAATGAATTACCTCGAAATGCCTTATATTGTGCAATTTTTTGCTGCCGAATGGGTGACAACTCCCTGAAAGCGTAAATAAAATCAAAGGCTACTAAACTTTCAGGTTTTAGAATCCGAAAGTTATACACGGGTAGGCTACACGTGCTTGTAAAAACCCGAACACCCGATACACGTCAAAATTTCGTAATTAGTTCCTAATCACGAGTAAATATCATGAGGTCAACTTCAGTTTCACGTTAAATTTTGATTTGGATTCACGTCGAGAATACAACGATCTCTAACACAACAGTCGAAGTACATTTGCTTCTCGTCTTTTGTGTTGAGACTAAAGCTGCAAACAAGCTGCTGCCCTGCTGCAGACGGGCCAGGTGAGTTGATCATATTTAAGTTTCGTTACTTCATTGCCCCGTAAACTGAGCTGACATAATTTAAGGAAAATCAGTGTAGGCCTGAGAAGGCTCACCATGATTCAACTCAAGTGTACACATGCGTAAATGCAGCCTGAGGACACTTACATGGAGACAAGTCGTTAAGAAGTTAGGACACAGAAAAGAGATTTTACTGGCTATTCGATAAATTCAACAAAGCCGTGTGTTTTAGTTCATCTACGGTAGAACGCCGACGCGAGATTGACGTTAAAAAGGAAGACTGCCAGATCATTTGACGTCGTTGAAAATGTAGAAGTTTAGAATGAAGTATTCGACTAAAACGTGGCGTGGGTAAACAAATACAGTCAAGCCAAGAAGAGATTTCAAACTGAACCTGTCCGAAAACGCGTGCGGAGAACGGCATCTTTTGGTTTGCTTTTTCATTTCGTATGATGCCAAATCGTACTGCAGCGGTGTTTGAACTCAAAGTGACTGTAACTAACGGTGATTTTGGCTCTGGGTTTTATAATAATGCCACCCAGCTAGATATTAAAAACACAGTTGAGTTTTTATCAAGTTTTTCTATCGTACATGATGATGAAAGATCAGTAGGGTTGGCTTCTGGAGTGCTTCGGTTACGTGAAATCCTTAGAAGAATCCCTTTGTTTGTGTTCACAACACCCGGGTTAAAAATGGGACATAGGCGGACGATTGAACAAAATCACCTTAAAATCCTGGCTTTGAAAATGCTATCACTGTGTTAATGTTTAACTCGCCGGCCTGGGTAAAAAAATTGTGACACACGAGTGAACGATCGCTTAAAATCCGGCTAAAAATTCTGGCGTCGAAGCCGTTATAAATCTATTCCAACCAAGCTCTATGACTACGCACGCTGATCAGAACAATAACTTAATAACGTGGCATTATAAGAACTAATATGTGCACGATCCTTCGCAGTAAAGCACTATTTGAGCAATAGTGAAAGGTAAGCGCGTTGTAAATATAATCGTAATGTAAAGATAATGTAAAGATAAGAACTGTAAGAACTCGTAATGTAAAGATAAGAACTGAAAGGTAAGCGCGTTGTAAATATAACTCCGTTCGTTGTTTATCGCTACCGAATCCTTCAGTATTCAAGAGAGAAGGTAGCAATTAAATCCAAACGCATATACTTAAACTTCAACTTACCAAGTGCGTAGTTAAATTTCTCGCTCCGCGTAACACCTCTCTTATATACGATACTTTCGTTTGGGGTACTTCTCTGGTAGAGTTCGCTCTGTAGACTGGAAATATTGAAGCTATTTTCAATTAATTATCATTTCTATTTGCCCATCTTTCTATTTGTGGGTCAACCAATAATTTCATACGGCTCCTCGTGGTTTCACTTTCTACCGCACGAAACCGCAATTTATGTAGATCTCTTGAGTATCTCGTGTAGGGTTTCATGAACTTACGAGAAAACGTGGCAACTCACCACTTGGAAATTACGTGTAACAGTAACTTCTTGAAGCTTCCGGCAGATAGTGACGAACTCTTTTCAACTTTGAACTGATGACAGCTATCGAGCAGATTCGATTACCTGCAATGATTTGTCACGGGACTCACTGGTTTATTTTTACAATGGCTTTTTGTAACGGTCTGGTGATTACCGCCTGAGTGATTAGTCACGCCGGAAGCGGAAGTTAGAAACGGCTCTTCAGCTCACGTACTGTCCTTGTGATAAATATAGGACTAAATATTACTTTCATCTGATACAAATTAACACCGCTAGCTCTAACACTGGCTTTTTTTAAAAATCCTTTTTATATCTCATAGCTTCTCATCAACACAATAATAAAAAATGTGCGCGCTATGCTGGTGAGTTGGACGGGGGAAGAAGCTAGCTCAAGGATCGTTTGCGTAGAAAAAATTATTGTGAACTGGCTCATCAGTCAGATACAATGAAATATATGAAGTTCATATATTTTGAACTGCGGTATTAGATACGTATGATGCACGATCCTCGCAGTAGATAGCGCTATTTTAGCAATAGCGAAAATCAGACCTGAAAAAAATCAAAAATCAGGCCTGTACGGGATTCGAACCACTGACCTCTGCGATACCAGTGCAGCGCTCTACCAATTGAGCTAACAAGCCAACTGGGAGCAGGCCGTTAAGTTGATTCGTAATAAACCCGTGAAAGTGATAAATCAGATACAATGAAATATATGAAGTTCATATATTTTGAACTGCGGTATTAGATACGTATGATGCACGATCCTCGCAGTAGATAGCGCTATTTTAGCAATAGCGAAAATCAGACCTGAAAAAAATCAGGCCTGTACGGGTTTATTACGAATCAACTTAACGGCCTGCTCCCAGTTGGCTTGTTAGCTCAATTGGTAGAGCGCTGCACTTGTATCGCAGAGGTCAGTGGTTCGAATCCCGTACAGGCCTGATTTTTTTCAGGTCTGATTTTCGCTATTGCTAAAATAGCGCTATCTACTGCGAGGATCGTGCATTATACGTGGCTCATCAGTATTCAAATAGGTTGAATAACTTTTTAAGTATCCCTAATCATTAATTTAGAATGCACTTATAATCATGATAGGTTGAGGACAGAGAATTTTTTTTCAGCTCGTGTTTAGGGACAGCGCTTACTTAAGGGTGGCGCTTACTTAGGGGCGGCGCTTACTTAGGGGTGGCGACGTTTATGTAGGGGTGCCGCGCTTATTGCTTTACTTGTGACCGCCATTAGACTTTGAGCAGTCCTTCCTTTACGGCGAAATCTGTCGTGCGAGGCAAACGAAAAATTTGCGGTAAAAATAGAAGTTAGCGCACCGCGAGGAACTTAAGGAGCATGGCATCCCTACGAGTACCAGTGCTCAGACCTTGAAAACGCTTACCTCGAAAATGTAGTCTATCTATTACTCGAAAAACCTCAAGGCTCTTGGTGCTGCTCCTGTGTGAACAATTCTCTTAGGGCCTGATTACATGAGCCGAGCTGGCCCGGTTAGCCGGGCTGATTTCTTTTGTTTTCACGCTTTGGCGAACACCAAAACAAAAGAAATCAGCCCAGCTAACAGGGCCAGCCCGGCTCATGTTATCAGGCCCTAAGAGTGTCTTTTCCTGGTCATGACATGCGAGACATGCGGCAACATTTCCGGTATGCATTTACATTGTCACAAATTGTCACAATAGTATTCTGAAGGTGGTTGTAGGTGGTTTTAGATGGTTGTAGGTGGTTTTAGGTGATTTTAGGTGGTTGTAGGTGGTTTTAGGTCATTCCTTGTTTTAGTAATTACGGGGGAGGGTGCTTATATATTGAAGCGTGGGCGCTTTTTATTCTAGGTTGTCCGGGCGCTAAAGTGAGTCATTGCGGTAACTGAAAGACGTAAATTGGTAGATTTCATCACGCGCTCTAGAAAAATTTTTCTTACTTTGGCACGATAATACAGTTGCGAAACGGCAAAGGGTTTCGCCAGCTCTTATCGAAAATAAACAATAGGCCACAATTATTTATCTCTGGCACTTGGGAACAGTACGGCAATGATCACTTCACCTTCTGATTGGGACGTGAAGAAGGCGCTACCCGCAAATACAGGAGTGAGAATTCTTTCGAACAATGCCTCCTTACGGCATGTGTGAAAATAAAAGATTATCGTGCATTTGATATATTCCGCGCATATCCGCTCTCCAAGCTCTTTCTCCAATCCTATTTAAACAATTTCCTGGTGAATTTGCGCCGAAATCAGACCGCGTACATATCAGAATTGATGTCGTTTGTTATTGCAAACCCGCACTGTGTGACAGATGAAAGCACCGACGTTTCAATTAAACTCGTATCTTCATGTTCTACAATCGTACGACATGGGTTTTTAAGGTAAGATGTGCGATTATGAACCGAAAAGGCAAGATGAAATTTTTCTTCCAAAAGGAGATTTCACGTAGTTACATCAACTAACACGCCACGCTCGGGAAAATTAACGTGACTTTGTGTAAAGTAACGTTTTACTCTGTAGTACGTCAAAACGTAACTTCATTCGTTAGCACGCAGCGCCATCTTGGATAGTGTCGGGCTTGGGGCCCGTTTCTCGAAGGTCCTGGTAAGCTATTCTGTTTTCATTCAAGATGGGGATTTCAAAAGTTTTGAAAATGATAAAATAAAACTGTCAGCTAAAGAAACAAAAGGGACTGGTCTGGGTGCCAGAACCTGCTTTCTTATCCTTTAAATGTTAAAACATGGCTTCAGGCCCGTTAAGTTACTGGGCAGTTTGGTGTGCCACACAATTCAATATGGCGCGGTGACGTCCATACAAATATTAACTGAAATAGAGATGGATCGTGGTGGATATTTACCGAGCCGCGAAGCACTACACGACAGGGTGGAAAATATTTACAGCTTTGTAAGGAATCCCTGGACTGGGTGAGCGAGCTCTAAGAAATAAAGAAGTACGTAAATTGGAATGGTTTTTATGTCATGAATCATCCAGGAAGGAAACTCGTATAGAGTCGGTCATTAATAAATCACTTTCTTCCATTTTCTTTTGCTTTGTAGGACGACGTTGTGTTACTGTGACATTTGTTATTTAACCTCTTTAAAAGAAATGGAAGAAAATCTTCCTCCTGGTTTTCAACTACCCTCCTTTCCTTCTTGGACGGCACCGCAATCTGTTCAAGCAAACAGTTATATAAGTGCACCTTTGGCACCGCGGACTGGGTACGAGCAGCCTTACTGGTATCGGCCGCGTTATGAAGGATGGCAATACGTCACAAGGGGTACGTTGTAAATATTGCTTGAAATTCAATTCATGCACCCCACACTATTATCATATTTTTCTTTCCTCTTGAACATGATAAATCGTTCCCAATATGAATGACAATACACCTAGGACGATTTGAAAAAAAAAAAAATCATTTCGTGTAGCAATTGGTTTCCTTCGAGTTCGAATTCAGTACAAATTTCCTCGTGATACTTTTTAAATGATCTCTTCCTAATATTTTGTTTGTGCAATGATTTTGTTTTCTTTTGTTATTTGTTGTTGTTGTTTTAATATTTGCTTACATTTAATGCTGCGCCATTTTTTTCCTTTTTGCTCTTTTAAAGAATTTTGAGAATGAGTTAATTTCAGTTCACTTGATATGTTGCCATAGAATACAGCTGATATCTTTAAAAAGTAATAATAAAAAAGTAAAAATAGACCAAAAATACTTTTGTTCTTGGGCCATCGTAATTTGATCAAAAAATAAAACAAACACCAGTGATAAACATATTGAACTTGCACATTTTGATTATGACTTGACGTTTCGTATGTACTCAATATATATTTTCAAAAGTAACCGTTGAAATTTAAAACAGCTATGTATATATATAACTAAGGTGAGGGGACTGGAACCAAGATTAAGCAAAAAACTTAATAAACAACAACACTGAGGTAGATTAATAAAGCAACAGCTTTTCACTTCCGACGTTCACGTTGAAAGCTGGCTCAAGTTCTTGAATAAGTAAGGACTCTTTGATTTTACAAAGGTAGTCTGTTTTGCCCTTCGCCAAAATATCAAAATGATCCCACTTGATATTATGTCCAGTGGCCTTCACGTCGTCAGCAATGGCTGAAGTATTGTCATTTTTAGCGAGGGCCTTAAAATGTTCGGTGTTTCTATCGTGAAGCCGTCGTTTAGTTTTACCAATGTAACAGTCATTACAATCCCAGCAATTTGCTTTGTAAATAGCTCTGGATTGTTGTGAACGATTAGTACGGTCCTTGTAAGGAAAGAAAGAAGTGAAAAGCTGTTGCTTTACTAATCTTCTCTAGTGTGAAAAGCTGTTGCTTTATTAATCTGCTCTTGTGTTATTGTTTATTGTTAAGGTTTTTGCTTAATCTTGGTTCCAGTCCCCTCAACTTAGTTATATATAGATATATATACATAGCTGCTTTAAATTTCAACGGTTACTTTTGAAAATGTATGTTGGGTACAAACGAAACGTCAAGTCATAATAAAAATGTTCAAGTTCAATATGTTTATCACTGCTGTTCGTGTCTTATTTTAGACCAAAAATACCGGGCTCGAAAAGCACTTGGACGGAGTGGGGAGGAGGGCACTGGGTTCGAATCGCATCGAAGCTTGATTGACATTAGTCCACTGCGCCATAACCTGCTGGTGTCTTTATTTTGGTGATTTTCTTTGCATTTATTTATCTGTCCAGGTTCAAAAGTGACTCAACAGGCGTCTTTTCATCAATCATCTTCAACATATCGTTTCACACACCATCTCTCTACGGGATGTCACGCCACGGGATGTCACGCCATGGAATGTCACGCTACCGGAAATCAATTTACAGACTATTACTCCGAAGCCACAGAAAATGCGCATAGTTTACAGAGTGGAGTAGCATACGATCATAGAGCATTTCCAAAGATCGTTTCGGTGCACTCTATGGGGGAAGAAAGTTACAATACCCTGCAAAAACCTTCCCATATCTGTGGAGAAGAAGGTGGTAACAAACCAAATTACCCTTTTTGTAAATCCTCTTTTGTAATACCAACATCCTGTAACATTGATGCAGAAAGCTCTAAAAAGATAACTGATCATTCCATATCGACAATTCTTGATCTTCCCTCTACGAGGAATTCCTCTTCATCTCCTGTTCAAAGTGATGCCCTTGTTGGATCTCCTGCTAAATCTGACTGTCCTAAGAACGAAACGAAAGTGAGCCTTCCATCAGATGAACATGATCAAGATACAGAAGTTAGATGCGACATGGCTAGGGATGGAGAAATCAAGGTAAGCAAAGGTTTTGCTCTTTTAGTTTGTTTTGCCACAAAATCAATAATCTTAAAAGACTGCGTCCGTCTCAGTCGGCCTTATGCTCTTGCTCCAAGGGGAAACTTGGATAATGACTGATTTTGCAATGTTATTTTCTCCCTACTCTATTTAACTATAATAATTATAATAATTATAACAATAACCATCATCAGCATCATCATCATCGTCGTCATCATCATCGTCGTCATCATCATCGTCGTCATCATCATCGTCGTCATCATGACAATCATAATCATCATCATGATAATAAAAATAATGATAATAATAATGATGATGATAATAATAATAATAATAATAATCATATATCTAATTATTTACAAATTTTAAAAGAATTAATATTTATGTTCACGATTGAGAACTGATTACGATATATGAGAAAAGGAAAAATTTAGCAATACTAAATAGGAAAAACTATTAAAATACAAGGACCTAAAATTATGAGTGCAGCAGATGTAGACCAGCTAGAGCGAGGGTGAAGTCTTCTGAGACCTCGCATGATTTAAACGAAACTCTAGAACCTCTTACGCATCTGTGTACAGTTCTTAATGTAGCAAATGATAATAATAATAAAATAATAATAATAATAATGATAATAATGATAATAATGATAATAATGATAATAATAACAATGATAATGATAATAATCATTATTATTAACAATCGGGTTAACAATCGGACAAGAAAGGATGAAGAGAAGACACTGAAGTACGGACCCCTTCGCTGGGAACTAAGGCAGCAGTTCCCAGGCTACTAGGTGAAGCAATATAACATCATTATGGATGCCCTCGGGGGGTGGNTTCCTGTTAGAAGGAGGACCGTAGACACAACGGAAAAGCTTTTTAGGATTAGTTAATGTACATTTATTTTTTACTCCATGGCTCACAGGTTACGGTTTTCGCCCTGTGCTGCCTGATTAGAATGTAGCATTCAGTTGATTTCTCTGCGACATAATAATGATAATAAACATAATTCTCAACCAATCTTCTCACCACAGTCCATGGGTGTTCTCTCCCCGGTTACTGTAAGACCCAAGGTGAGAGATACCAGTTAACATTGCGCAAAAGTCCAAAGCCAACGATAACCGTGTAAATAATCTGAACATAATTTCTTTAGATAACGGACAGTGCGATCAGCTGCCCAAATTTCGCCGAAGGATTGTCCAGCCCAGCTCTTCAAAGGCAAAAGAGTAATTCAACACTGGGAGAGATAAAAGCTCCGGAGATGCCCCACGAATCAACTCTGCAGAAAAGCTCTGTGTGCATAACTCCGTTAAAGATCAAGAAAAGTACACTGAGTTTGCATCGCCTTCGGGAAATCAACAAAGTTCAGAAACGCCTGAAAGGCGAATTACGAGATTGCCAGGAAGCTCGCTTCGTTAAGAAGATTGAAATGAGGCGAGAAAAAATAAAAATCTTCTCAAGCCGCTCCCTGAAAAGTAATTGGAGTCCAAGTTCTGAAAGCCCTTTAAATTCTCCGCCTGACAAGAGGTCTCTTGAAGCACCATATGTGGAAAAACCAGAGCGTAACGAAAGCATCGCCGATTCAAGGTCAGATGGGAGGCGCCTCGAATTAAATGCGGATATTACAGCAGAAAATTCATTAGGAGAAACACTCAGCTCCGAAAAGCTTAAAGAAGAAGTGCCAGAAGATGGTTTCAGGATGAATGTGTTCGAGAAATTGGCTCTCTTGGGTGAGAAAAGGTGTGAAGATTCAACTTCGAGCAGCTCTTCGCTGGGCGATAGCAATTCGCAAAGTGCTGACACTGAAGTCAAGGTTAAAAGAACCCACGAAAGAAGGAATGATCAAATCATTGGAACTGAAGACGAACTTCACGCTCTTCGATCTAATTCTAAACGGTCGGCAGCCTTGGAAAACGACGGAGAATTAAGTGAAAACATCAACATTTTGGTAAAGTCTGAACAAACGAGTTTCACTGACATTGCAACCGCGGGAACTATCCCAAACAGTTGGTCATCTGCTTACATTTATGAAAATGTGGGCAGCAAGAGTAGTACTGATCTGTTAAAGAGGAAGCATTGTGGAGAAGTGAATATTGAATCTACCAAAAGGCGCTGTAAGTTTTTGCCGAGGAAAGTAAATTGGACAGTTGCTGACAGTTTGGACAAAGAACCATTGCTAAGCCAAAAAAAGGAAGGTGAGAAATTATAATGCATACGATGATTATGTTCTGTAAGGTATAGTTTAGCTGTTTAATTATAAAAGTTAGAAAGTTAGCGGGTTCAAAGCACGTCTTACGACAACCAGCAATGGCACACGATTTTTCGAGGGAATCATCAAATACTTCGGTTGAGTCTAACGCTAGAATGCAATGTAAAAGTTAAAAAAATTAGCGGGTTCAAAGCACGTCCTATGATAACCAACAATGGCACAAAGACTTTTCTAGGAAATCCTCAAATACTTCGGTTGACTCTAACGCTAGAATGCAAGTGAGTATCTTCTGCTTTAATGCAGTTTTTGGATATTCCAGAACTCGTATTTTACAAAGCCATTTCTTGACACGGATAAACACAATTTTTCTGCCATATGAATATTAAACTCCACATGTGTGCCAACCTTGTTACATAAATACTGCATGGTGTATATGTTGTAGTTCAATTTCATCCTTGGTTCAAATTTTATTTTCCTTTGTTTCAAACTCCTTATCTTACATTAACCTGACCGAGAACAAAGGAAAATAAAATTTGAACCAAGTAGAAAATTGAACTACAACATATATATATATACGCTATAAATAGGAACTTTCATTCGCAAATCAATCGTTGATGATTTTGTAACAAAGATTTTCTTTAAACCAAAAAATTAATGTAAGTGAACGTGAATTGCTAGAGACGGAACTCCTTTTTTGACAAATTTAGTGAGAAAGAAAAGGAAGTATGTGGTAGGAGAGAGAACTACGATACCGTTGGTCAATGTGGCATTGGTCTCTTAATTTGAGTCTTCTGATGATGATAATAATAATAATAATAAAGTATGTGGTAGGAGAGAGAACTACGATACCGTTGGTCAATGTGGCATTGGTCTCTTAATTTGAGTCTTCTGAGCTGGTAGTTGAAGTGATGTTCCCCCCTCCCCCCGATCCACAGGAGATGTTGCTAGGGTGACCAATTTGTATGCCGTCAACACACCAACTTATTTCATATTTGAACCAGCATTTATCCAAGTCACAGACCGACCTTTGTTGTTCCATCGTCCGTGTGTATTTGTGTGCACCTTTTCGATAATTTTTAATATTGGCAGCGCTTTAAAGGTGTCCAAAGCCTCATCTATTAAGTGGCAGACAGAGCTCCTCAAACAGGCACTCTTTTCCTCAGTAGAAAAAGACGAAGAACGACAAGACATCCCACTCAAGACAGAAGTTTCGTGCGAAGGAGAAAACGTCGATGCCATACAATTTCAGGGGATTGTAAACAGAAATGATAACGCGAACAAGCCACGCCTGTCGTCCAGTCCCTTCTCTCAGTTATCGATTGCAAGCGATGCCAAAGCATGTTGGGTATACGATGATGATTTACTTCAGAGGAACCTTGAGTTACGAAAGAGCAAAATCGGCGACCTTCTGCGTAAACAAGAGGGTCTGTTAGAGAAGCTGGGTTCGACACCTCTCCCGAGAAAGTAACTAATTCTCGTTCTTTTAGTTGGAACCTCCTTGTTGCTTTGTTCGTGCGTGACATATCACAGAACAAGACGTCACGTCCCTGCTATATCTGTGGGATATAATGCATTTTTCGCAGCCGTTGCGTTACTTGTTCACTGCTCTGGATTTTCGTAACAGTCATCACCAGTATACATATATCGTTTTCGCCGACCACAAAATTGAGTCTTGTGCGCTGAAAATATGTTATTTCCTTACAGAAGTTCAGATTCAAGCACCATGCACGAAGTTTCTGCTAACCAGTGGTTATGAAAAAATTCTGTTTCCTGCCATGCAGACTGGTCAGATCTCCTGTACCGTGATAATCTGTCGATCAGTAAGGAAAAGAAAATTTGGTTCTTTGTCAGTATTGGCGATCTAGGCCATTGTGTCGTTTTGCGGACCTTCCCTTTTTGCACGGGCTGGAACCAAAACCTTTTGCGTCCCGCGCCCTCGCTGTGGGGACACGGAGAAAAGAGAACACTACAACCAAGTCTTAAACATCTATCTTTCTTTCATGGTTTCTATTCTATTGTTTTCTTTCAAATTTTACAATCCTAAACACGTTAAAGCTCTCTTTGGGTGTAATAGTCCTTTTAAATAAGTATAAAACTTGACTTTCCTCTCATTGCAGTTATTGAGGGCCATGTGTTAGAAAACTCTTTACTGGGTTAGTCATCTATTTACCCTCTTGAAATAAAGAACATTGTATTGTATTGTATATCGATAATACTTCTAATCGTATAGTTTTGGTTGTATGGTGTAATGGTTTTTATTTAAACTGACAAAACAATTCTAAATAAAGTTAAGACTGTGTCATTCGTAGTGAACTTCGAGAAATTTTAAGCGAGTCGTGGCCCAATCTTTCGTTCTAAGCTGCTGCATTATGTGCAATTTCTGCAATATCGAACGTTTGTACTGTGAAACCCAATCTAAAAGTTATGTTATAAATTCGTGGCCCGCCCTGGCTTGTGGCGTCACGTGACATTCCAAGAAGGGATTATAAACAGGTCAGTCGTCATCGGGCATTCGAAGGCCAAGTCGTGTCAGATGACTCCATGCTAGGTTAGCCAAAAATTTATAAGTTTAATATCTCGTGTGCATATGTCGTATCTTTTCTTCTTTCGCTCTTCGACTGTGGCACAGCTGAAAAATAGAGAGGAAGAATGAATGATCTTCATCGCCATCGAAAAAAGATAAAAACAAACAAACAAACGTCTCCAATACTGCTCGCACCTTTCTTTTCTCTAAAAATTTCTGCATAAATTCTTCTGGTGTCATATTTTCTGTTCAGAATAAAACAGTTGCTTCAATTAGTATTTCATCACTTAGCCAGTTCCAAGCGAACTAAACACCCTCGAGATTTTTTAAGCGATGTGACTTTCTAGGAAGGAAAACATTTGTACTTACTCGAAAGAAATTCATCAGCGATGACCTTCAAAAATTAAAAGAAGATCCAATTAGTCACACTGCGTATGGAAGCTTAACTAGCAATTACTTTTTAAAATATACTCACTAGTCGGTTTTGCATAAAAGGAAGAAAAAAACCTTTTCTTACAGCACAAACCAAAAATACTCAAGTTGCACTCCGAGATTTGTTTGGTTTAGTGTGGTCGTTATTTTATTTGCATTGTCTGCTTGCTTTCTCCATCTGTTTGTTTTCATTTCACTAAATTTTACATACAAAAAATAGAAGGCCATTTCCAGGGTACTTACATCTGATTCTTCTTCTGCCTGAGCAGCTGCTATTTCCATTCGCGTTCGTATTTGGACCAGAGAGAAAACCTGTCAAATTGACCAGAAAAGAGTTTTATCCTTCGACTGAGATGAAAATGCACCCCTTGAAACAGTACGATCCACACCGAAGCGATTACTTCTTGGTGTTCTATTCTACAATACGCTAGTATTCAATTCAATCGAGTGTCGAAAGTAGTCCGGTATTGCTTTGCTTTTGCTTTACTTCATTCTGTGATTGGTCCAGAAAACTCGCGCCACTGTCTTAACCAATCAGATGCAAAACTGAAATCAATTACGACTTGGTCGCCCGTGTTTTCCCGCGTTAAAAACAAATTGGTCGGTTTGACTTTCAGTTCTCGTTCGCATTTTTTGGGTTTTTTTTGGCATTTTTCTTTTTTCTAATTAGTCATTGTGTTTACTTTGGTTTTAGTTTTACTACACTCGATCGAAAGGAACTCCATGGCGTTATTTTGAATCACGTCACACACGGCTACTAGCCTGCAAAATAGTTTGCAGCTGATTGCGGAAGAGACATTCTTAGATATCGTGCGTATATGTTTACGAAGAGAGGACGAAATGCGTCATTTAAGGTGCGTTCCTACTTATTGCCGATTTTGGTAGTCTAGTGCTTCCAATAAACTCCCAACGTCGCCACAGATAACGCAAACCGGAGGTTTACGTTTACTACAACCAATCCATGGAGGAGAATGATTTTTGTCAAGTAACAGCCTTAACGATGTTTTATAGACATTTTCGATTAAACGTTACCTCACTAAGCTCCTTCTGTTTCTGACTATTATTTGCAAACTCTCCTTTCAGCTCGGATACGCGTTCACACTGCAGAGAAATTCAACAAAAAGTTTTGAAAGCGGTGAGTTCATGCAAAACCATACTACAGGGCTTTCTCAGCAGCCTACCTGAATTGATTGACAAAATACAATATGGCGAACGGGCTAATAAACTAATTTGTTAGAAGTAAGCAAACGTCTTTTTCGGCTTGATGTAACATGTTTTTTGTAAAAATAAAGGAAGAAAATACCCTTAAGTTTTCTCAATGGTTTTTTTTTTCAATTTTTCAAAATATGCATCATCCAATATCTCCTTACAACATCACTCCTAAATCAAACATTCAGGTCACAAGAAAAAAGGAAATGATCACCAATTAAAGAAGCTCTTGATTGTTAAACAAATTCTCCTTGTCAGTACCTTTGGAAATGTATAGAGAACAGTATGGAGAATATGCATACTGATTTTAGTGTGTAAAGGGTTGAGCCCTTACTCAAGCTCTAGGAATTAGTTCTTCCTACTGCCTGCCACACCCTTCTTAGTTCAGAGAATCAGGTAATAAATAAAATAATTTGCCTTAGTTGATGCCTCCCGGTTAGCTCAATGGATAGAGCGCTGGACTGTTGTGCGGGAGGTCGAGGGTTCGAGCCCCGGCCGGACCAACACTCAGGGTCTTAAAATAATTGAGAAGAATTTGCTGCCTTTCTATAACCTCAAGAAATGGTTAGATATTCTAGTCTTCTCGGATAGGGACGAATAAATGGAGGTCCCGTCTCCTGCAGGGTTGGGGCAGGAGACGTTAATTTCCCACACACGAGATTACTGTGTGATGGATGTCCTCCCCTGGGGTGGGATGGGTGGGATATACAGGGCCGTTCTGAAAACCACTTCTGTGAGAACGCACCCTGTCTAAAGATTATTATCTATCTATCTATCTATGCCTCCCTATATTCTCATCAGCTGCCTGCCTGATATTGTATTGATATTAATAATAATAATAATAATAATAACTTTTATTTATATAGCACTAATATCTTGAACTCATGGAACTTTATAACACTGCACGGGGCACTTTACCAGACTGCTTAGCAGTTTACAATCAAATAAAGGTGAATATGACAGATGCCCCCTCCCCCCAATTCCCAGTAACCAGGCCAGACCACATCACAGTAATCTCGTGAAGTGGGTTCTTTAACTTCCCCTGCCTAACCAAATTAACTAATTAATAGATGCAGGAGACGGGACCTCCATTTGTTCGTCCCTATCCGAGAAGACCAGAATATCCAACCATTTCTTGATCGATGTTACAGAAAGGCAGCATATTCCTCTCAATTATTTCAAGACCCTGAGTGTTGGTCCAGCCGGGGCTCAAACCCTCGACCTCCCGCACAACAGTCCGGCTCTCAACCAATTGAGCTAACCGGGAGGTTGATAAAGAAGGAAGGAGAATATTGGAATATTGAATATTGAAAGGAGAAGTTACTTGGTAACTCTTGAAAGGGTTGAGGGTGTGGCTAGGAGGGCACAAATACAGTATTTTTTTAAAAGAAATTTCAGTTTGCTGTGCTTTTGTCATGATCTTAACGAGAATTGAGTTTGATTCCTTGAAAAATTGACATAATTTTTCCTTTTTCAAAAAGTTAATGAATGAACAAAATTAACTACCATTACCTTTTTCAAAAGTTCATGTTTAGTACCCTCCAACTTTGACTGAAGGGACAAATTAAACCCTACAAGGAGATAAAACACAGAAAGTTGCAGGAAAACATTCAAAGAAAAACAATTGTAACAAAGGGGAGGTGAGAAAAGACTGACATTTTATAATAGAATTTGTGCAGAAGTGTATAGGAAATATTCAAAAACCATGTAAAACAGATTAAGAGAGTTGAAAATCAAGGAACATACTTGCTATCTCCTCATTTTTCTTCATCACTTCTTCTTTATCAGCCTCTAGCTTTTTAATCTGAAATTTCAAATTTGTAATCATGATTACCTTAGCACACTTTCTTAAGTTATCAAAAAGATGAAAAGAACCTTCGTATTCTTGATTGAGGTGTATCTTTCCACCTACCACCCCCTCTTTGAAAATCTGAGACTACAGATCATCTATTTTAGATCAGGTTCTTCACCCCACCCCCCTTAATTTGACAATTTACTAATTCCTGTTTCTTCTCAGTTTCCCTTGAACTGGAAGTCATTGAAGATTTGTTAAAACAATAGCACATTTCTGAATTACCTAAAGCCTCTTTTTCAAAGCAAGTCCTGGTGCTTATCCTTTCACATGATAGTAAGTTTATTTTCACTTGAATGATTGAGCACCGGACCTAATTTTCAAAAAGAGGCTAAAGGCAATTTGGAAATGGCTCATTATAGAACTGCCCATCTTAATGAAAATGCAGAGACATGTAGCTGTTAAAACTGACTGTTAACTTACTGATTCTAGTTTTATCAAAAATGTGTCCATGACTTCAGGCTTATCAGCAAGATCTTTGAGCTCCTCAAGACTGGGAGTGAAAATGAAAATACAAACTTGAGTATCAAATACAGAATGACATTGTTAGTATTTGTCATTTCAAGTCTTACCTTAAACCATCAAGCTCTGGGATTGAGTTTGTTACTCTGTTTGGTTGAGTTGGCCTGGGGGGAACTGGTGGCCTTGATGGGGTAGTCTGTGTGACCTGGTGAATATATTTTAAAATAATGGAAATAAAGATGGCAAATATTCCCAAAGTGCAGCTGCATATATTCATGTATTCCTCCTCTTTAAACTATTACCTTGCTGTCATGGTAGCATACAATGGATATGTGCATTCAGGTAAAGGTCTTTACATTTCCTGTGGTACTGACAAAGAGAATTTGTTTTGACAGTCAAACACTCCTTGAAGTACTGATCATTTCCAGGGCTCAACATTAACTTTTCAACTTACTAGCCAAGTGGCTAGTGACGTGTTCAATGTTATGATAATTTCAGTTTGTTTACTAGCCAAACTGGCTTGTGGAAATTGAAAACCACTGGCCAAAACTGAATTTCTACAAGTCTGTGGCTAGTGGGCTACCATTAGTGTCAAGCCCTGATTTCCTTTATTCTCACAACTTCAATGTTTTGGTTCATGGTTGGTACTACAAAGAGACATTAGATGCAGGCTATATTGTAAAACATGATGAATTTTACAAAGGGTAACCCCTTTACTGCAAATTGGACATTGCCCTGAAGGCCTTGTAATGTTAAAATTCTGGCATTTCATTTGCCACTCATTTACCAAAAGAATTGGAAATTTAATGTTCAACATCCTACCATGCCAGAATGTACCTGGGAGTTACTGCCTAGGTGTGGCATAGCCCCTGCACTAGTAACAGACAGAGAGGAGTACTGGCTTACAGGTGAATTCAGTGAAGACATGGAGGGTGTACTGGAGGGAGCTGTAGATTGTGGAGCATACTGGAAACCAGGAAAACTGGGAAAGGTGTATTGTGATGAGGGCTGGTAGCCACTTGAGCTTGCTGGGAATCTATGAAATGACACAATCAATTAAACTTGTCATTATCTTTAGTAAATATTCATATGTTCAAGTTATTGAAAGACAAAAAATGTGCAGTCATAAGCTAAAGTTAAATTTTATCTGAAATTCAATATTTTCATTGGGGAAGATCACACGGCCTTGGTTAAGAAGATCTAATGTTGTGAAACCAAAACTAGAAGAACTGCTGGGTTCCCAGTCACAGAAAAATGCGAGTACCACATAGAGCCAATGCAAACTAATAACAATTAATACATTTTTTGCAGTCTCTGTCATTGCCTTACTAGCATTCTAATTGGCTCACTAAATCTCACTTATCAGCTCATATACCATAGTTTGAACTTATGTGGAAAAGAATTGACAATTAATTGGTTATAGCCAGCTTTGTCACCCATTTACCATCTCATATTGTGTCACTGCACCACTCCCTCAAAAATTCCATGGGTATTCATAGTTACTAAAGACACTTCATGTATTTGGTGGCTGAAGTGATCTACATACCAATTCAAAAAAATTTTTACACTATTGAAATCAAAACCACAGACAATAATACAGTCTGTGCTTGAAGATGATGTTGCACAAAATAAGTGAAACAAAAAACTGTCACACAGTTGGAGTTTTCTCTACCCTTTACCTCCCATAACTGAGTACATACTGTTATATGTAACTCCTTCCTTCGATATCTATACATTATCCACCAACAGGGTAATAAGAATACTTTAACTTATCAGGCAGAAGTAGTAATCTTGAACTGGCACTAAATTCTTGTAAATAATTTACAAGGAAATTTGTTGCAGCTTGAGGGGAGAATTAACAATCAGGGCAGGGTTGTTCAAAGCTGGGTAAAGATAACCCAACATTAGTGTGAAATTTCATTTTATATCTGACAGCTTAAAAAGAAAATTCAGTTTAAATCTTTTTGTCTACAATTTGATGATTGGATGTTCTAATTTACAGAAAAGAGAAAATTTTCCCAAAAACGCTTTTGAACAGAGAAATGATGAAACCTGGATTCAAATTTAACCTTGGGTTAGTGCTAATCTGCCTTCAAACAACTGGGCCCAGATCGTGAGAGTTAAAGAGTTAAATGCCGCATGTAACAGGTTTATGTTACATGCACTTACTGTGGTTGAGATGTCAGAGGACCAAGAAACTGTGGGGGGTGGTCAGAGAATTCTTTTAGAACCTCTGTGATGACTCTCCCCAGATTAGAGTGCATATAAAACTAAAAAAAAACAAAAAGAAAAAATTTTCATTCCCACCATTTAACTAAAATAAAGGTTATCCTTATTTTACCTGTATCTTAGAGAGAGAGCAAAAAGTTATCAAGAAGGGATAAACTTGTATATATGGACAAGAGGGTGTTATCTTGACCTAACACTTAATCGAGCCAGAAAAGAGAATAACATGTAAGATCTTTAGAAGTTAAAAATCACTTGTTTGGCTTCCTAAATTCAATGTAGTATCAGCATCGACCGCTAGTTTTGAACTTGAAGATTTTGTATACATCTAATTAATGTAAATTGATTGTTTCAATGTCACACTTATGCATTCAATATGCTTTAATTTGCTTTAATTCTATTTAATGTTTAGCTGTATTTGATTTTAATGAAGTAGTATTTTATTGTACACGACCCCACAAGCTTTTAGCTTTCATAGATAACGTGTATAAATAAAGATAACCAACCAACCAACCAACAGCTCCAAACCCCTAACATGTGCATCCATCTTCATTACAAGTGGACTACAGTGAGCTCGTATTTCCTACCAATATCCACTGGATGATTATTTTGGCAAATATTTTTGTGACAATAAATGGCAACATTTACTTTGAACAGATGATAAAAATAACTCACTAGTAGCTATTAACACAAATCCTGATTTTGTGACAAGCTACTAATACCTTATGATGTCTGATTTGGTTTAGCCTTTAAAGTGCATTTTACAGAAACACAGCAATATAACCACAGGCTGCCCTACCTTCATTATCAAAAACATATGTCACAAAAAAAATTAAGAAACACTCTTACACTATTTATTCCAGGGCATCCTACCACTATCATCTACAAGAGAGAGAGAGAGAGAGAGAGAGAGAGAGAGCAAGAGAGAGAAAAGTTAAGTTCTACTACATGATAAACCTTCAATCCCTAAGAGTGACCAGCATCTAATTTCTCCTTACAATATCACCTCTAAATCACACTTTAATGTCTTGAGAATAAAGGAAATGATCACCAACTAAAGAAGCTATTGATTTATAATAAAACAATTTTGCTTGTTAGCATCTTAAGAAACATATAGAGAACAGCATGGAGAAAATGAGTATTTCATAACAACATTTTGAGCCTCATTGTGAGTTTCAAAGTCACATTTTGTTTGCATTTAAGTTCCTAAAATTAGCATGAATTGCAAGACTCAGACTTGAGAGGTTACATTAGATCTTTTAGGATACATAGCTCTCCTTAAGTTGTTCCTAACCTGATCATTAACCCAAGGATGACGTAAAGGTGGAGACACTTTAACAACTGGCCTTTCATTGGGAAACTGAGGGGGAAGGGTTCTGGAAAAAAAAAACAGTTCAATAAATTGCATTTACAACAATACTACAACATGCATATCAGCTCATAAGCCCACACCCAGGTCCAGAGGGTAACACCTCTTTAAAGTTTATCATTTCAACCGCTAGATGTTCCCGAGAAAAGGGGACAGAGCTCTCAGAAATGATGTGGATGCCTTTTTGAACAGTAAATTGCAGTTTTTATTGGCTTAAAAGCATAAAAACTCATATGGGATGCTAGGAGAATGCTTGAAAAGTTGTAAATCACTTACCTCTAGCTCATGATATACAAACTTTTTTTATGTCCTCTCAATATCTCATGTGGGCTATTGTCCCAATAAAATGAATAGAAAGTGTGGTCTTTTACCACAAATTATTAGGGGTTTAATAGCACATTTAATTATACGTTTTTTACCAATAAGAGGGCTCATAAAATCTCAGTTATTTTATAAAGGCATATATACTTCATCATTATAGTTATTAGAAATGTAGGTACTCTACTTGAACATCCTGATAGTATTTAAACAGACAGATCAGTTAATTCCCAGTGAAATGAATTGGTTTCATACATGTTCAGAAACACAGTTGAGGTTCCTACGCTGAAGGTGACTCTGTACTCCACATCTCTCTGAACTTCTGTGATACTGCAGAGAAACTTAAACAATTAGTCATAACATAACAGAATCAACTAACAAAATTAAAAAAATAATTAATGTTCTACCACTACATAGATTTTAATCATACATTTCATCCATACAGGAAACCTGCCCAGTGAATAGAACTTTGTCATTGGCTAATTTTATCAGTCAGCTTTAATATTTAAAGATGAAATAAACAATTTTAAAAAATCCATCTGGGAGCTTCCCATCTGGAAGCTTTAATATGGAAAGAGAAGGTAGGTAAACTTGTTTTCTGATTATTCTTTAACAATTAAGGAGCTGGTTATTTTAGTTTGGCCAGTCTGCATGACAAGGCTTCTCAATTTGCATTAACAAATTTTTAATCCCAGTTTTAAAGAAGACAAGTCTTCCATTTTACAATGTAGTGCTTAGCAAATGGGGATGGAGGAGGGGGAAGGAGGAAGGTAGGAGGGGGAGGGGTGAGGTGGAGGGGGTAGAGAGAGGAGAGAGGGGCAGCTCATACAACTTTGAAGATGTGGAAGATTTTATGTGCTGAGCACCCTGGTTTCTAAGACAAAAGCCATTAGGCTCCTAGGTACCCTGTGACTTTTCCTAAATCACTTTAACATCAGCTGTTCCTTTCCCAAACCAAAGTGTCTAATTCTCACACTCAATACTTAGTCTTATGCTGCAGTAGTTTATAATTTATTGTAAATCAAATAATTGTGAATACATTTAATAAGGAGATCTATGCATATCAAATGGGCGTCCTGTGAAGTTAACGAACTTCGAATTTAACATGAATATTAATCTTATATATGAATCTAAACATCGATAACAGAGAGTTTCAGACTGGGTACAGACAGGTAGTTCAAAAGATTGCGTATAGATCTGTCTGCCTTGGTGTTTAGCGAGCCAGTCACTTTTAACTTGTTGAACAGAAATTTGGAGGGCTTACTTTGGGTTCATAGAGGAAATGCTTATATTATATGGGAGATTTTCTGAAACCAAGGCGGCCCAGGTTAGGTTTGCTGTCCAATAAAAAAGTCGCAGAAATGGGAACCGGAAATGAAAGATGGTTGAAGAGTGAACTTGAAACTCACCTGTGAAGTGTGCGCAACGATTCGATCTGTTTTAGTCTCTGTTGTTGTAAAGCTGTCGTAGGTGGTAGTTGAGATTTCGGAGGTTTCGATGATCCAAATAACCAGCTCATGTTTAGAAGACTACGATCGATCGAGGAAGAAATTTTACTCAAATAGCACCACACTGCTAGATTCGGCCGCCATATTGAACTAAATTTAAGCATGATGTAATGGGCACAGCCGCTGACTTTTGTAGGCTTGCAATATCCCAGAGTTCCATAGTGCCTTCAAAGAATGTTTAAATTTATTTATTTTTTATTGTTAATTTTTCATTTTTAAATTTTTTAAGAAAAAAAAAAACAGCGACAGCATGATTAAAAGAAGAAATATTTTCTTTCCAAAGAAAAATTTTTTTTGCTGGTGGAGTGGCGCAGCAATTGATGTCTGTCTCCTGATGACATCGGTTGATAAAAATGGGGATTTTAATCATTAGTATTACCTTACACTACACTTTGCAAGTAATTTTCATTGTAATCCTTTGTAAATGAAACGTTGATAACTTTGTGTTGAATGAAAGCTAATAAAAAATATGAAAAGTTACATTTGACGCTCATGGACCGGAAAGTCGAAATTGGCCTACAAAAAATGTTATTTATTTTCAACTTACGATCGAGTCATTTTATTTTTATTAACTTTTCTTAAAAACAGTTTTTTAAAACAGAAATCGACCTGCTTTTGGAAATTAATATGTTTCCACGCCGACCCCCTGTCGATAATTTTTATCGATTTGAGTTTCGCAGTTTTGTATTTTAATGGCTAAGGTAATGCGAACTGAATTCTTAGGAACATTTAACTCGAAACTGTACTTGCAATCGATACATTGGAAGAAGATTTATGAAACGTTTTGTTTATTTTCCTGTCGGATGCGTGACCATCTCCTCTACCGTCTGTCTAGCGATAAAATTCGCCTTAACGTCGGCCATTATTCCAGAAACATCCTTTCGTAATGAAAGTTTTCATTTTACGTTAAACATTTGCATCAATAAATAATATGGATATGTTTAGGCCAGCCACTTGCTCATCAAACCATTATTTTCTCATAATGACTTATTTGGCTTCGGCACTTTCTAAGCTCGGTTTCACGTCGGCCCGTAATGAATCAGAAATCTCGGCATTGTTTCCGTGTTCAATGAAATTGAGTAATTGTAATGGTTCTCGAAGAACTTAAACTTGTGTTTCACGCCATTGTGTCCTTAGTAATTAAGTGCAAACGCCATGGGCGATTGTGGCAGAAGTACAGTTTTCACCGAGTGAGCTATTCAAAAATTACACCGGTGTTCTAAGGTTATTAAAAACACGTTCTACTCTCCAAACGGTCAACATCGCCATTTATTCGCCCATTTTTCGTTTTTTATTTGTTATTATTATTATTTTTTTCAATTTCGTGCGTTTTTTATCTCAACTCAGAAAACTCCATTGTAATTATTTCACGCTCTTTTCTTTTGAAAAAGCGAAAACCGCTTTGATAAACTTCAATCTTGCTCATTCCAGATAATGACCGTGGAAAGATGGCAGCCCTTTTCAACTCTAAAACTTTAGTTCAACACTAGGAACTTGCCAGGGCATTGAAAGGCAATCAAAGCTATTTGGAGTAGTTTGGCATAACTACTTTTCATTTTCCATTGAATACAGCGGGGGATAATACTGAATACAAATGACACAAGTCACCAAATATAATGCTGTAATTTGGGGACGAAAAGGTCTTGAAACCCCGTAGGCGAAGGTGTTGATGATCCTGGGTCTCACAATTAGAAGCGAGAAGGGAAATTCTCGTAACGAACGTCGGCGAAAAACAAATTTGAATTTTCCATTTCCTTGCCTAGAGGACTTTGCGCTTGTCGGTTTGATAATCTTAAGAGCAGCGATAAAACTTGAGTGTTTTAACCTAAGAAGTGTGATAGATAGGCAAACATCGATCATCGATTACAAATATCGCTTTCTCTAACTCACACCTCGAAGGGAGGAATTAAAGATTATGTTTTCTTAAATTGAAGTGCCGAAAAGGACACATTGACAGCTAATGACTAAACTATTACTGCACATAAAAGTAAGTTGTTTGACGGGAAACGCTACGTTCTCTTGAGCTGACACGCTCTAGACATTTAACGTTTGGACGCACTTTTTTTTCCCGCCGAAAATTAAAGAAAATTTGCGCTCCAAACCAACAAGCGAAAAAAAACGAAAACTCGCCGAAATCAAACGCTATCGTAAATCGGCAAACAGATCATCTCGAACACATTTTACAAACAATCCCTGTGTTTTATAAAACAAAGACAATGGTCATAATTGAAAGCTTTGATTTTTGTCACTTGCATAGCCTCTTTAAGCCCAATAAATGTCGCACGCAGTTTACAAAGGCCCGTCGCTGACTCGACATCTGCCGCCTCGCGCAAGTGTAAGTCCGCGCGATTCGAGCTTGCAGTCTTCTTACTGGCATTTTTTTTCAGCAAGTCATCGTAAATCATGCTAGGTGTTTCTAATTTCAGTGGCTTAAAAACGATAGGAAAAGTGGCGATTATGAGCGATTCACCCCCTTTTCTGTTCATGTTTGTTTAAGATGCCCTCTAAGCGGTGCCTCCTTTGAGCCAATTGTTTTCTTACCGCGTTTTTTAAGCATTTACAAACAAGTAATGCCTTGCAAAGTCATTTCATCACTGCCTCGCTTTTTGCGAAAGCCGTGCCTTTCATTCCGGCCTTTCCCTTATTTACCGATCAGGCCATTGTGCCGCTATTCAGTTATTGTATTTTTGTGGATGTAATCTTTTGTTATGGAGATATTAGTATTAGAGCAATTGTAATTCATTCACCTTTGTTATTCAGTTTATCTCTACTTGATCGTCCATTTATTTATTTATGTCATCTCTTTCATTCAACACCTCATGTATTTTTTATTATGTTGTTATTCTCGCCCCTTGTCTCTCAGTTTCTTTTATATAATTATCAATATGCGAAAGTAAGATTTACAATAACGCCGCACAGCGCTTCTCGGCGAGGTTTGGTACAGCTGTGTTTTTCACTCAAACGACGGGAGACCGACCTAAATCGATAGAAGGGGGAGTTTTTTTGTGAAGCTTTCTAAGCAGCAAGAAGATTACAGATGCTTCCGTTCAAAGATGCATTTGAAGGAAATAATTTTCTTTGCGGGATGCCATCTGTTTAGGGTTTCTGTAATTATTATACAAATCCATCTCTTTTTTTAACTCAAACGAAACGTCGAAGGTACAGGCGACTTTAAAGACAAACTTTCTTCAATGAAATTTCGTCCGTCTAACCTCACACTCGACAGAGTACCAAAACTATTTGCTGTTTCAAACCACGAATACATAGTTTACACCTTGGCACAATAGATGTAAACGAAGACAGTTGTCTTTGTGTGTTCATAAGGAAAGGTTTCTGAATGACAGGGGAGCGTTTCATATGCTAACGGAATTTTTCCAAACTTTAACATCAAAGCTAGTGTCAAATAAACCCAACTGAGACAACAAAAGTTGACAACAAATTACATTCAATGCTAATTTTAATGTGACAGCTCGGTGAAAACTTTTGGTTAGTTTTGTCAAATTTAAATTACAAGTGAAATTTGGTCTGGTAAATAACGCACAAGTATGGCTCACAGAGTCACTCTGCTTGGCGAACCAGAGCGGAAATTTTTTAGTACGTCCTAAAAGAGCCACTAACCCTTCAAATGAGTTCGAATGAGAATTATTTCAATATTTAAATATTCACACACATAGCTTTATAATATACAAACTCTGACGTGTTGCGATCTGGCAACGGTGTGCGTGGTCAGAAATTTGGTCGTGAAACTCGTCAACATCTCTACGTACTGAAATGTATTCGTCTGGAATGAATTTGTCCTTGGAAAAAAAATCGTATGAATGGCACGGAATGATATAATAAAATTCTTGCTTGCACGATAAGAATAATTTACACCAGTTACTTGCTGTATTATACATAAATAGTCAATCGTGATAAATAGATTTAACAGTCAGTCACTTCAACTAAAGGAGTAGATATGCGACCGGTCTTCTAACATCTTGCCCTTGCCACGACGAACAGTTGCAAGGAACTGTATACTGTCCATTGCTTCCCTGTACAGCATGGAGATGCGAGTGAGGACTTAATTGGCCTCCAGGTAGAACAGGCATACCAGAAGCGTTCAGCAGAGCCGAACTTGTCGGTGGAGCGCTTGGATAGAGCGCGGAATGAGGGTACATTTGCCCTCCCGTGAGCATATCAGGGCGTACAGCGCTTGGAATCTCCAGTCCGCGGTCGAATCTTGATGGGGTAATGGAGTGCCCGGTACTCGAGTCGAAAGTGTATCCTGATGAAACTGGGATAAATGATCGCGATTTGCCGTTCACAGCTGACGAGAACGGGTCCGTTACGAACGATGATGTCGATATACCAGGAGGACTGCACTTAAGCAGTTCGTCAGAGGTTGGTAAACACGGTAGTGGAAATGGATAACGGTCTACCTTTTTTAACAGCGATTTAGGTTTTCTTCGGGGTCTGTACTTGTAGTCGGGATGTTCCTTCATATGCTGCGCACGTAGATGCTTGGCTTCCTCGACAAACGGCTTCTTCTGATCATCTGTTAACTGCTTCCATTCAGCTCCAAGCCTTTTGCTGATCTCGGAGTTGTGCATCTTGGGGTTGTCATGTGCGATTTTTCTCCTCTCTTCTCGGGACCAAACCATAAACGCGTTCATGGGGCGTTTGACATGTTCTGCTGGCTTGGCCATGTCTGTGTGTGGGTATCCTCTTTTATTATCCCGCACGATTCACTAAGAATTCTAGCTCCTAGAAACTTCTAGGTTGTCAAGAGTAAATATCGGTCCGTGCTCGTCGCTGGCTTGTTGAAAGTGAACTCATCGTTGATTGCTTCACGCGGTAAAGATCAAAGCTCGCACCTTGGAGCATGCGTGTGAAATAATTGAGTTTGATTCTCGCTTTCACAAAGTATTCGGACCACGTCACTTTACGAAAAGGCTATCCAATTAAAATAAAGGAAGTCGAATTTGAAAATTCCCCTCGAGTGGTGCCTTTGAACTGTTTTGCAATATTACCTTGATTGGTGTTTCAAAGAGATATTTGGATTTTGTAAATAATTTTCTATTTTGGTTTGGCGAAAGTACAATGGCCCAACTTTTGTTTTCTAGT